ATGCTTTCCCGTGTTCGCAGTCTCCGTCGGTCAGCGGATTCGACGATTACTTCCCGTTATTTACATCGGTCCCAATTCCCCGCGGGAAATTATGATCCCTCGGCCCTTGCAGTTCGCTCGCGTCTCGGGAATATTTCCTGCTTCGCGCGAGCTATTTCGACTGCAGTTTATGGCAGCTGCGTCGCTTTGAAAGTAAAATTCGGAGGGATGGGAGCCGTAAGTCTTTTATGGCATATATTGTGCGAGTCGGGAGAAGTTTCCGCCATGCCGCCCTCCGTCTCTTCTGCTCCCCTCCTTCCTTTCGATTCGCGCGACTGACGTCGTTTCGCTCGGAAAATCAGAAAAAGATTACTTATGCTATCTTTAGCTGGCGCGGAGTGCACTTTCAGCAAGAGTCGCGCAATTCCGCGAGACACTGAAGGAATGTGCTATATATGTATCTATGTATAAAAGGAATATAGGAGATCGGATTGCCGCCCCTGACACGCGTAACTCACGTCCGCTCGCTTTGATTTAGAGTCATTTTTCCGCGTGTTTCCATCGCCGCCTGCGCTTTTTTTATTATCCTCACGCGAACTTCCGCCTACAACCTTTTATTGCATCTTGAAACACTAACCCGCGATACGCGACGCGAAATAAGGCAGCACGAGGGGAATTTGTTCTCATATTTTTTTTCTCGTTTTGGTCTCGTACAGGTTCGTAAAACATCAACTGTCAAGATACGAGAACGCGTCAAAAAAAAAAAAAAATAGACTCGCATTGTCGGAGGTGTAAATAAAGGAGGTCGCGACATTTCCGCCTTCACTGATATCTTCCTTGCGGACGTGACCGCGGATCAGCGACATGTGACAACTATATATCTCTTTAATCACGATTGCGATATCAATTTCGAGAGAGCTTCTCGCGATATATTGTTGAGAAGACATTGTAAACTTCCATTACAGCTGCGATGGAAAAAGCTTCTCTGTTGGCAAGTTCGCGGAAACCGTTTCTCGCCTTATTCTCATTTCCTCCATAAAGAAATTAACAAGTACGAATCGGAAATTCGTTGCCAGGAAATTTATCGGTTGACCTTCGATCCCTCTTTAGAAATGTTGTTCGCCGCGCCACGACAAAGACATTTTCTTAAATGAGAACTTCGAGAAAGGAAAAAATAGTAAAAGAGAGAGGGAAGGAATATATAACGGTGAACGGCCGGTCGTCGTTTATTAAGAACTCTTTGACGATTTTATCGGCTACTTCTTAACCACGATTGAGTTCCACCACACGTTCTCGAGAATGAGAAAAGCTCGTATTTAAAGTATCCTAATTATATTCCCACTCGAGCTCGGGACACGTGAATAATTCTATATTCTTATTTCATTTTCGGCATAGAGATTAAACTTACGTCAGGGGGGGAAGGAAAAAAGAAATCCGGCTGCGCGATATCGCGAAACTCTGGCGGATTCCGGTCGGAAACATTGTTCTTTTTTTCGTTTCTTAAATCAGTTACTCGAACTTTCCCGTTTAAAATCTGTATTTCCATATGCACATCGTGTATATCCGCTCCTCGTTTCTCCGCGGAAACTTTTATTCTCTCTCCGCCGTCGGCTCCTCTCTCGACGAGAGTTGGAATCGATCGTTCGACATTCTCCTTAAACTTCTCCCATTTTTTATTGAGAGAGCTCACTCACCGACAATCATTCGAGCAGCCTAAATCTGTCCGCGGACTCAGTCGGACTCCGATCTTCCTGCGCTCGCGAAATCGCTCGTGTACCGACGAAGTGAAAAGCTTAGCGCGTATGCAAATATCCGCCGGAAAAACGTTCTTATCCCGCTTCCCACTTTGTACAAAACTCCGATCCTCTTTCTGTATTTCCGTGCGTTCTTCCGCTCAAGCAGCAGACTGCTCTTTTTTCCCTTCCCTCTTTCTCCGCTTCTTTCCTTCTCTTAGACGATCTTACGCCGTGCAATCTCGCGTCAGTCCCTCACAGAGAGCCGCGACAGTTGCAGCAGCATGCGCGCGAATCTCGCGCACCGCTCGCGAAACCAGGCTTAATCGACTTTCCGCGAACTTCTACGCTTCCCAATCCACTTTCTTTCGTTTTATGCGCGCAGCCGTAGCGCGGATGTATCTCCGTCGTAAAAAAAGGAAAGGAAAAAGGTAGGGAAAAAAATAGAATCGCGCCGTACGCAACCACCGTGAAACGGCCGAACAACAGATCCCTATCGCATCCGGCCGGAAGCGGACGTCGAGACCGAAACAGGAGCGTCGACCGACGTCGGTCGGGTTATATCGTGCGTAACGCACGTTACGTCAATCTTGTCGCATAGATACGCCGTATCAGTCCGCGACCGAAAATCGACCTGCCGTCTCTCGACAGCGCCGATTGAAATTTTACGTCTGTCGATCGAACTGTCGTCGGACAGCGCATTCGCGTCGCACGTGTTTTTAACGAACGACGCGCCACTTTTACCGCCTTAATTAAGGACTCCGAGACTTTCTCCGTCTTTATCCGGCCGAGATTGCGCGACCAAGTTTTTCGACGCGTTTTCGCAGAAAACGCTCAAGACGACGGCGACGACGGCTACTCGGGTGTACCTTGACCTCAGCCTTGAAGCCGCGGAATGCACAAGAGTGGGTTCGCCTCCCACCTTTCGCGACGTTCCCGCTTTGTGCGCTGTACTATGCGCTGCGCGACCACGTGCGCTTGGTCGTTGCACTCTCTCTTCGTCTTTCTTTTCTACCCCGTCACTCCACCAGAGTCTCTCAGAACCGTCCCCTCCTTGTCACGCGTCGTTGCACTCAGCCCGAGAGCCTCTCGTGAATCCCCACGACTTTCCTATCGTCTCGATCGGCGGATGTGATTTTTCGCACCTGCGAAAAACTCGCGCGACTAATTGATTGAGAGAAAAGAGAGTTTGCTCAAGTGAGTACGGCCGGCGTCTGTCTGCCAGTCATAAATGGAATTTTCTCCCGATTTCGACCGTGAGCCTTGCAGCGAGAATATCGCGACGCGAAAAGGAGAGCGCGACGTGATTAATGTCTCGGACCGAAAGATCTCCTTGGCGGTGTGAGATAGGTCGAAGTAACGTATTTAACGAGGCGAAGTTTTCTCCGACGGATCCGCCGAGAGAGGAATGCGTCCTCGGGACGGCTCTCGGACGCGCTCCGTTCGTTTCTTCACGGCGGGAGAAGAAGGAGGAGAAGAACAATGATAGAAGAAACCGGCTGCCCTCGCCTTTACTCGACTTTTCGTTCTCCCGGCGAGCGATCCTGCCCCCGTGTGGATTTACACCGTAGTTTATTCACACTCCCTCTCTCTCTTTCTCTCCCTCCATGGGAATATTCTTCCTCCGCTTCTCTGCGATTACGCAATTCCGGAAAAATACGGCAAACGCGCGTTATAAAAATTCACGCCGGTTGTAAATCGTTGGCGCGCGCAAATGATTGATTTACGCGACTGAAATAAATCCCGGTCCCTCGCACTTTTGGAGCTTCAGTGAACCGGTACGGCCCGATAAATCACAAATCGCAATTCGCGTGCGTTGATTATAAAAAGTTACGTCGCGCGTACCGAGAACCCGGGGAATATCTCTTTACGCCGATTTGTGTGTACATATCCGAAAAAAGCTTCGCTCGGGCTAAAAATCCATCGATTTCCATGTCCATCCAGTGCTTTCTTCGAACTCATCGGCATCAAACGGACACGTCGCCCACCACCGATCGACCGGAATACATTTCAGACTCGTCATACGTTTGTTCTATTATATCGCGCCCGCCAGTCTCACGGTTAATCTCATATCTCGAGGCTATTTTTGAGGAACACCACGTCGACGCTTTATCATTTCTGCGCTATTTAACGACCTTGCTCGCGCGTCCGAGTGCGCCGTAATTAAATTTCGGACGAGACTCGACGGCGACGCGAGAGTACCGCTACGGAAGACGGCGCGCGTACGAAGTGGTAAAACAATTTCATAGCAATTCGAAGTTACCAAATGGACGGTGCCCGTGATTCCCCATCTCTCCGTATCTCCGAATTCAACAGGTTGCAGCTGGTGGCTGGAGGAGCGGCCCTCCTCCTCGTTCTTCTTTTGCTCTGCCCTTGCCTTCATTCCTTCCTTCCTTCCTTCCTTCCTTCCTGCCTGTCGACCAGCCTTGCCTTGCTTTGCCCTTCCCGCGTATCTTTTCTCCTACGTTCTCTTTTCTCGTTTTAATTAAGCGTGTCACGACCCACTCTTCCGTCGTTTCTTTCAGCCGCGAGCTGACACTCTCCGATCGCACGTTAATTGCGCCCGCCACTCGTTCAAAATCGCGCCGAGCGCGCTGGATGCACTCAAATGCGTCCATCTGCCGGGGGAAGCCGTAAATTGGGAATTCTTAATCATTTTTGCACCGTGGACCGTCTTTGGCAGTGCGTTCAAGTCTGCGGGCCCTTTCTCAGAATAATGTTTTTAGACGCGAAAAGTAATCCTCGAGTCGAAATTTTGGTTCTATGTTAAACTTTCAGTTCTAACAACACAATAGGAGTGAAGGTAGCAGGATAGGTTCGATTTCAATTCTAATGTTTAAATAAAAAAAAAATGTCTTCTTTATCGACGACAGTTTTTCCCGTCTTTATGTATAGCTGCTCTCTCAGTCTGTGCTTTCGTACCATCTCTCTATGAGTTTCTTGCGAACGACTCGCGGCACCGATCGAGAGGAGAGAGGAAATGGAAAAAGAAGGATCGCGTAACGCTTCCTGCCGATTCGTAGCGAACCGTGATGGTTGGACCTAAGTCGACGCGATACGAGGCCGCTCGATCCGTCCGTCCGGTTACGGTTTTATCTACTTACTTTTTTTTCAGAAGCGCGTCTTTTGTGTACTACGACCGCCGGGAGGATCCTCTGCAAGTGTATCTGAATGTTTAATTTTTAGAGCGTTGCGCTTTTAGACGTTACATTACGGCGTTGCTCCGACGGTATTAGATAATTAATGACGATGTTAATAGCGATAATTCCTTACTTTATTGTGTTGCAGGTAAGAATTCCAGACCTTTCGAATTTTCGCCCGTTTCCTACAGCACCGTTCCCGGTGGTAAGTTTGACTCATATACACACTCAATTACGAGAAAATGATATTGCCTGATTGTGAAGCGTTAACCATATATTCACGTGATATCTCACCTTTATTTATTGCGTTTACACATTTATATGCGGAAAAGTGATGTTTCGTATCCCCCGGACGCGCTGATAAAAATCTTTCTGATTACCCTCAGTTAAGGACCATTGACAGCCAATTATAGCTCACAGCCAGTCCGATCCTTGAACGAGTCCCGGCGCGCGAATCGAAATTCCCGAGAACATTACTGAGTTATGCAAATTCTATCACGCTTCCGCTTTTCTCGCTTGCGTCGCGAGGAAACAAATGTCGCTCCATTACGTGCTTCCGTTTGTCCGACCGAACGACGTGACCGTTTTATTGCCGCGTTACGACATTTGTTTTATCGTTCACCCGCGCGAGCTCGCGATTCTCGAACGTGCACCCGCCAGGGAAACAATCGACCGGCCGAAGCGCGCGGTAAATAAGTGGCGATCGTAAAAGTGCGAGAAATAATCGAGGGAAAGCCTTCGCGACGACCGTGAAGTCCTTTCTCTCCACCTAGTGCTCCTTCGCAGTTTCCCATCTCGTTACAATGCGCACCGGCCGAGTGGTAACGTTTCCTCCGATGAACGACCGCGCTCATCCCCCTCATCGATCCGCGAGTTTCGCGCAAGGACGACGCGAAGAAATCGCGGGACGGTAGAAACGCGTGGGTCTCGCAAGATGCAGTCAAGTATCGCGTTCACACTTGTCGCAACATTGGCTCGAGACCGGGCTCTATCGAGATTTCCGCATTCACGGCCGACCGGCACACAATTCGTACACCTCGCGAAAAGATGCCAAGGCGCGCGCAGGGCGGGTTAAGGAGAACCGGTGGTGAGTCTCTCTTCTGCGGAGGAGGCGAACTGATGGATAATTGCTCACGAGCCGCGGCAACGATCTCTCCGGATCGAGGGTCGTCGTTGCAATTTAAACGGATTTATGGTACTCCCGGTACCTTTAACTCAGCCGTTCCCTCGGGCATCGAATTTTCGTAGCCACTTGCGCGCGAGCGCACGTATGTGTGTGTACGTACGTATGCGTTTCTGTGCGGCGGTGCCACTGCACCAGACGCTCGCACGAACTTTTCCGTCATGGTCGATCGTGTAGCTTCACGCTTTGGTAGAGCGGAGGAGGCTTCACCGGGAAAGGGTGAGAGAGAGAGGGAAAAGCGATGGGGAGAGAATCGTAGAAATTTCGGGCCGTTTATCACGATTCTGGACGCTCCACCATTTTCGATATTTATACCGCAGGCAGGCCGAATTTGAACTGCATTCGAGCGGGCCGCCGAGGAGTGCTTTATCGATCCCGCGGCTTTCCCGGAAGTGCGATATCGCGCCGCGTACACGAGACGGAGGACTAACGATCGCGGATACTATACCCCAACCTTGTGTTTTTTCCTCGGGCACGGGACATTAATAATTGATTGTTAAGCGTGTCTTAAGTACGAGAGAGAGAGAGAGAGTCAATTTCCTCTTCTCCCGCGAGTGAAATTAACTGTCGATAATCCGGCAACGAGCGCTATTTTCCGAAAAGAAAACCTTCGTGAGCTCGATATCCTTCTTCGTGCTGCCTTATTAATGTCTCAACGGACGGGAGATATGTGTGTGGTTGCAAATTCAATTGTTAATTCGATAAAAATTTCATCATCATTTCTGACTCGACCACTCTTCAATACTTCGCACCGTCACGAGTATCTTCTTTCCGCGAGAACTGTAAATACTTTACGTGTTAACGCGCTGTCGCGTGCTCGCTAAATTCTAATCATTTTAACTGCGTCAGTCTGAGATCGAAGGACTGTCGAAAAGTAGTAACTGCGCGAGATTCCGCGCCTCTCGCCGTTTAGTGGAATAAAGTGTTCGCTCCGCCGGTTTCAGCCCCGACAGGAAGGAGCAACTCGAAGACGGTCATTGTTCCGCATTCGATAATCGTCTTGGAAGTGCCGTCGGAGCTCCGTGTTTACCCACCGCCTCGGAAGCTCGTACCGATCTTTTCTTTAAACTAAAGCAAAGTCCGTTAGAGCGGCACTAATCTGACGGCGATAGAGAAGCGAAGTTTCCGATTCTCATTCGACTCTCTCGTAACTCCCTCGCCCTCGTGCACGGCTCGTCAAAATTCCGAGCGTCGGTTTTATCGGTTCGCAGTATCCTCGCTTTAATGCGCATTAAGCGCATGAATATTCGTCATCCGTTCGCACGGCGTGCGTAACTCGCCGTCTGTCATAGCGATGACATAACGATTTTATAACGTCGCGAGATAAATCTCTCCTCTCGCAGCGCGACTCGCCGAGTTTCGTCCGGAAACGGCAGCCGATCCCTTCCGTCTCTTTCTCTCGGAAAATTTGGTACGCCAACAGTGAGAACGCGTCGACGGGACAACAGTGGGAAGACGGCGCGGAGCAAACAGTTTCCACTTTTCCGTGAGAAATTCGCGGTATTATCATGAGCAAATTTGACTTTCCGCTCTTCCACCCTCGGAGGATTCGCCGGCGCGCTCTCTCGTTTCCCCTCGAGAAGCCCGTCCGCCCGCATAACCAACCGACGGGCGGGCGGTACCCGAAGGGGCTGGAACCCACCACGTGCATCCTGCTCTTCAGCATCCGCCCGGTAACCGCCGCGGGATCGACTATGCATCAGGCGAATTCCGGCGGTCCGCCAGCCCGCGCTCGAATCTCAAAGATTCCGCGGCCGACGGTGAATAAGGACGGCGAGATGACAGATGAATACTTGATACTTCGAGTTATCCCACGGCTCCTTGCGGTTGGTGACTTTCTGCACACACGTTTGAACGGAGCTTTCTCCGTGATTTTGCGCACACAGCATCGTCGCGTTGGCGCACCGCCGTCGAGAGCAGCGTCTACGGGATGTTCTCAGATGAATTTTCTACACGCTCGCATATACTCAACGCGTCGTGTTTCTCGCCTAGCCCGCCGGAAGAGAAGCGCAATCTCTCACAATCGATTCGATAGGGGTAGATTTTCTCCTCTTCTCTCGGCCTTTTCGTACGCGTCTTCCAACATCGGCGCTTCTCCTTTTCCCGATATGCTTCTCTTTCTCTCTCTACCACTCTATCCATCTGTCTCTCTTCCGTCTCTCGATACCTCTTGCATGTCGCAAGAGTCGAGGAAATTCACGCTCGAGAGTGCATCCTCGAACAGTTTCCCGAGAACGTCTCCTCTTACTCCTTCTCCGCCTCCCTCGAGCGGGCCCGAAGTGGATCGGGGGTTGGAAATTTACGCGCCACGGATTTCGCTCCTCGTTTGCCCCTCGGTCCTACGGAAGTCGAAGGTCGCTCGAGCGTACGGTGCGGATCGAGATATCTCGATTAGATACCTCGACCCGTTACTCTGGCCGAGCGGAAGGCAACTTTTCTTTCCGGGATCTATCCGTCGCCTCGATAACGTTTCTACCTCCTCCCCCTTTCGTTCTTTCCTCCCGTATTCCCTCGGAACTTTTCACGCGAGAGGCCTCGCCCGGACGAGCAGATTTCACTCGCGAGAAACGTCGAAGCCTTCGTGATCTCATCTCGTCTCTTTCTCTCTCTTTCGCTCGGCATCGCGCCGTATCTCGTTGTTTCCGTTTCTTTTTTTCTTTGAGAAAAGCACCGAGACGCCTTTGGTGGCACTAATAAAATCATCCGGCTCTGTAAGAGACGGAAAATTAATCCTTTGCCGGCGAGAAACTATCCAATCGCGGAATAACGTCGAGGTTACCCTTCGAGCAATTTCTCAATTTTCAAGATTGACTTAAAATCGACCGATGAACAAGCTGAGCACGCAGCCACTTTCGTTACGTATACTGGAGGGGGGAGGGGAGATCTGATCACGTTCTCTGCGTGCGCGATTACGCAGCATTTTGGCCCTTCTCATCTCTAATTCTCCGGCCCTTTTTGAAAGCGCCACGTAGTGCTGCTTGCGGGACACGTCCGGCGCAATTTCGGGAATGGAACGCGGTCGCGCGGGCGGGTAGTGGACGGCGCGTTGTTAAAAATTAAACGAACGACGCGGGATTGCGCACTTTACTGAACGAGCGCCTGGACCCGGTCTGAAGAGAAAAGTAGAAACAGACAAACAGAGAGAGAGAGAGAGAGAGAGAGAAGGAAAGACAGGAAGAGAGTGATCGGCGATACCGCCCGCTCTATTGCGTGATTTAAGGGTCGGATTGGCCGTGCAAACGCGATTAGACCACCTTGGTCCCACTATCCGTTCCACGGCCTATCCGGCTGGAAGTGATTCCAGGCCAAATGGGCAACAAGGAACGCCGCCGTGTCTCTTGGGGATAGACCCTCTATTGGACGTGGTCGAGCCACATCGTCCACTTCCTTTCCCGTCTCCACTACTTCCTCAACTCAGCTACTGCAGAATTTCCAAAATCATCGTGATATGTGCGTGGAAGCCAACAATAATAATAACTTTATTGGTTGGCAAAGTTTAGCAATAGAAAATATGATACATTATTATACTAGTGACAATCAAAAAGCCAGATATCAGTGTTAAAGCTGTTTTTATTTGCCTTACCTGAACGTAAACTCATTAATTGATGTAATGTTATATCATTAAGATAGAACAATAGCTTGTATTGTGATGCTATATCAGGAGGTGCTCTTCATTGATCCTTCAAATTCGACGGAATGTACGGGGTTAATGCAGAATGAAAATTTCGACTCGGTTCGCGGCTCGGATTTTATCCACCCCACGTTTCATTGCTATTTGTTGTTTCTAATTACGATCGCGAAGCGTAACGGAATGCTTCTCTACGCGCACCGCTCGCGCTTTACTTGAGCAAATAATTTCGCGGTCTAGGACTCGGGTTTTCTAAAATGATCCTCGCTCCCTCCTCCCCCTTCTCTCTCTTTCTCTCATGGTCCTCGTAATTTCGTCCACCCACATCTCGGCCGAACGACAGTTTCCCCTCTCTCGCCGCGTCCTTCCCGGACCATCCGCGATTCCTCTAATG